TTATTATTTATTAATTTGGAATTTATGGTCCTTTGTGTAAGAGTATTGGAAGCTGGATATTGCAGTGGATTCCTGTGATATGAACCAGTATGCATGCTGATAGTTGCTTTCCTCCAAGGCCAGAGCAGTGTTTCGGATTTGCAGACAGGGTGAATTGTAAGTTGTCCATAGCCACTGTATTTTAGGAACAGGCTATGATGATCGAACAAACAGTCGTCTGAATCTGTTGTAGTCTTGTGGAAGCCATGAAGGACTGGCCAAAGGAGAAACACAATTGGACCGGGAGGCTTTGCCAGTTCAGTGGTGAAGCTGCTACATGTTTGGCAGCGTGCTGGTTTTGGGAAGTTTCTTCATTTTTTATATTTAAGGCTGTTTTCAAGATTGCCATTGGACTAGATGATCATTCTAGGTCCCTTCCAACTGAACTATTGTAGTCTGAGATCATGTATGTAAAGACATTCATAGAGTATAACCATTTGCTGGGTTTTCTTTTACTTATCTGAAAGTGCACACAATTAATTAATTAACGAATTTCTTTTATATATAAAAATTGCTGACCACAAGTACCAGGGGAAGCCATTGAATATATGTTCTAAATTACCATTTTAAAAAATGCTAGAACTTTTAAAGCATAGGCTTACTAGTAGTATATCAAAAGTCTTCGCAGTCTATTTTAAGATTGTATTATCTTTCTAAATATGGTTGTCAGGAGCACAAGTGCTTTTTTTCTCTTGCCTACAATTTCTTTCTTCATAGTTGTGATACTGATACGTGTGTGAAACTCCAGAGGAAGGTCGTTCGCATTTTCCTTTTCGAAAGAGCTAGAATAAAAATACCTTTGAATTACAAACAATATTTTCAAAAGCGAGTGTGAAAAGTTGTTCCCAAGTTTACTTAGATTGTGATGTATTTATCTGAGAATATTTTAATGCATTTAGATCTTGAATCATGGACTATGTTTAATTTGGTTTTCTGCTAGCAAAAAAGTGGAGGATGACTCTTGTTGTGAAAAGAGCCACC